TATTGTTGAGGAAATGCCAGATCCGATGGTTTCAAATCGGTTTGATCATGCGCACCTAAATCGAATATAATTTTAAAATTTCTTTTCCATATTATTATATCATTATTTTCCATCTTCCCAAGTGGTATGCAAGACCAAGGCTAGCCTCCTTTCACGAGGCCCTTGGTCATTTTCGATGCAGATATGAATATATGAATTATATTGCATTATGGCAACACTTCGTCACGTAAGAGCTGGAAATATTGTTAAATCCAATTCAATAGAATATATTATTGCAATTTGAATTTTCTATTCGTCAATTATTGATGACCAATTTCCCAAAAATCTAATCATTTTATTTTGATTCGATACATGTAATCCTTAATAGCCACCATGTGGTACCCTACCTGCTATTTTTGTATGCTGGAAGAATCTCAATTATTTTCAGATCTTGTAATATTAGATTTGCATTCTTCTTGAAGGAAAATACAGGCTTGGCAATGCGCCATTAGACATTCGATGGGTACAAATGGATATAGAAGTTGTATATTAAATTTTCCTTTCCAAGAATATAAATATGTAATTAATATCCATGGAAATATTTTTTTACCTCATCAATAATTGTTCCAAATCTTCACCTATCGGTGATTGAGACCGTATTTTTCGACAATGATACAATTAAAGCAGAAATGGGATAATTTTTTGGCAATGAAAATTCTGGCGCCACATAATTTTCTAGTCGTGGTATAAGAAATTCTTATTGATCAACTTGCGATTCCAATTTTCTAATGCCAATTGTTTACATTGATGTCAGAACAATGGTCAATCACCAGAATATTGGTTAACAGGTTCCGCTACTGACAAATTCGGTGAAATCGAGCAATAAACCCTAGGCGCTTCGACTAATCTGCTTGCAACATCTGGAGAACAAAATAATCTCTTATATAATATCAATATTCTTTTTCCTTGATTCGATATCTATTTCTATATGCATATGTTCCTCATCTATGGATATTCAATAATGAATTTAAAAGATTTACAATATATAGAATCTGGGAGAATGGTATAATCAATTGCAGAATTATCGCTACACAACATTATTTTCATCTATTTAGGGAGGTGGATTCATAGATATCAATCATCCATACCAAATTCGAATTCAATTAATCCGTCAATGCATCATTCCCACCGTGATATAAGGAATTCATGAATTGGGTATCACCAAAACAGGCTTCAGGCAAATATACAATTTGATCTGCATTCATCATCGTCGAATGGTGAAATCATTTGTCCATCTGACCCATAAAACCATATTTGATTTATTATTTTTTTCAATATTTATATTATGTATTTTTGCTATTTTGAATGATGATATTAAATCATCACCAACGATGGGTCGATTGCCTATAAACCAGACGTCAATATTCAATTATTGATGCCATGAATATAACCTCACGCGTCATCTTTATCCTTATCCCAGACTATCTGCATATACCTGCTGACCTAGCTCTTATGATACCTTAGGATCCAATATTGGCCTGCCCTAAATATTATCGTACCTTTCAATAGGCATCTATGTTGAAATATCATATGAATATATATCATAATATATCCCGCAATCCTGAAGATTTTTTGGAATTATTGCGTAATAATTTTGATTACACTTCAATCGGTTCATGTTGTATATATCGAATGAAAAAGAAAACCATATTTTTCGTTCATTTAGCAGAAAACGAACATATTTGGTATTCTTATCCAGATGTGTTTTCTGTCGTTTTCAAATCAATGCAATTGCTATGAAATGCCATTTCATCTGGACGTCCTGCCCCTGGCGAAACCGCTCCAGGACCAGGTGCATCAAATGGCACATCTCGTGTCCGGAAGAGGCACATGTCCCAGGTGTCAACAACGATCCAAACAAATCAGGAACCACCAATGCCCCATTACCTGTGAGATAATAATACTCATAGACCACATTTATATACCTGACAACTTCCCTGGATGCCATACCTCCAGATTCGACAGACACCCTCCAGAATCGACAGAGATCCCCGGATTTCATCATATCAACCCTGACAATGCATAGGCCCCTAATCCACGTCCACAACAAGCGACTCACAACGACAAGACTATTCCGGAAACCCAGATTTACCTGAAATGAGGTACCGACAGACATGATTATGCCCTTTGTATTTGGAAACCATTGCAGAAGTGTGGAATCAATGTGGCTTGGCGACGACAAATTGAGGTAATGATTATCAATTGAAAATTTTAAATATTCCATATTAATCGTGTGGAGTCCAAAACGATTACAATTAAAAAATACTAATATATAAAAATTTCTATATTTGATAGAATATTACAATTCAAAATCCTAAGATGATCATCAAGGATTTTTTCCTTTAATAGATCCCCTTCTTTAGCATTCCTTAGATCTCTACAATACGTCGCCAAAATTTGACGGGGCGATATTTTTCGTCCGTTATAACAATTGAATTTGGCGGAATTGGAGCGCCAAAGCTACCTGCTCTTATAGAATATATCCCGTCGTATGCATTATACGTAATTCAATCCAATACAACAATAAATCAATTATTTATCATTCCCTAAAATTAAAAAAACAACATACAATTCAATCCTATTTACGATATCCAACGAATAGATTATTTCTATTTTAGATAATATAATAAGAAATAATCCAATATCATTCGAAATAAAATATTCAATATAAACACAATTATATAAATATTTCCCTCAACAAAATAAATAATATACTTTTTAAACCATACATACCATTTAATTAATCAACATATATCATTAATTAATAAACTAATATTAATCCAATATTAATAAATCAAATTATCTAAGCAAAATATATTACATATAATTTTAGAATATCCATCAAATCAAAACAAATATTAAATAAATTAAAATATAAACAATATTAATTCATATAATTTAAGATTTATTGTTTAAAAAAAAATTATCATTATCAAATAACGATTCCAAATCTCGATAACAATCATTCCATCAACAATATATCAAATCCCTACCAACATATTCTATAAATAATATCTTTAGCAAATCATAACAACATAAAATATTTATCTGTTTAAAACATTTTCAAAAATACACATAATATATTTTGTAGTTAAATATATATTAATATACCTAAAATCTAAATAACCTCTATTTTGCATTACCAACCACCCAAAATTAAAATCTAATCCTTTCAAAATAAAAATCAAATAATTCTAAATATATATATATATATTTAAATTATTATATATATTCAATATATATATTAAATTTTATTAAAATTTATTTATAAAATATCAAATACTAATTCTATCCATATATGTTTTTAAATTATATCCATAATATTAAAATAATTGTTTTAATATTATAATCCCGGATTAAAAAACATATATCGATTTATATACAATATTACCCCTTAAAAACACATTCTCCGCAAAAACACTTTATAGATTTTTATAAAATAAATATAAACAAAATAAAACATCGTCCACCTACATTCAAAATAAAAATTCATCACGAGAATTTTTAATTTTCAACTTAACCTACATAAAATAAACCATTTCTCGAAACAACATAACGAATTAAATCATAGAATGTATCACAATTCTAATTCGTATATTCTAAATAGATATCTAAATATACATCTTCTACGAACGACCAATCCATATATCGAAATTCTATCTTTCAATCCAAAATTATATACAATAAAATATACATTCAATTCTAATAAATATATTATAATTATAGTTATAACTAATTACTATTTAATTTTTCGTATTATATTTATTAGACAATTATTTATTCAAATATATATTTTTTTTCCATATTTATCATATTATTTTTGTAGAACATATAGTTCAATTTATTATTCTGATGAATTTGTTTTTTATTTTTTTTCATTATTTTATAAAGTTCCATGTAATATATGTATTTTTAAGTTATTTTCTATGTGGTTCGCAACAAAATATTCATGTTACCTCAGGGGTCACCACAAAGAGAATGGTTTCTTGGGTTGCATACTGTATCTAAATTTATTTCAGAACAATTCTGCGGATATATTTTGAGCTCCCGAAAGTCTTCGGACTTCACAGTTCCCTTCCATGCAAACAGTGGGGGCTGTCTCAATCCAGTCTTAGAGAAGACTCAACATCCTCTTCTTAAAATCTTCCAGGAGTCTCGATTGAAATCACCTCAATTCTGATTTTGTGTGAAGCATAGACTTGGATGGAGCTCCAAATGATCTACTTTTGGCATCAGAAAATGAAGACACATGAACAAAATCGTTGAATCATGAACGTTGAATCATGAACAACCCATGTTTGACACATGTTTCTCGTGTTGACCCCCCCTCCGAAACATCAGCATCCAAAAGTTTCTTGAACCGCTATTCACCCAAACCGAAGCCGTTTTCTTGCTACCTCTTCTTGCCGTCCCTTTGGGCCCAGCCGGACCAGAAGCCCTCCGACTCTGGGTGCACCAGGCCATCTGCACCACAGGTGGCTAACACCCGACCCGAGGCGTGTAAGGCATGCAGACCTTCGCGGTACCTGGGACGCTGGGTTTTCTGAACAGAGACGATCCGATGCCAGTGCCCACCCAACATTCCGAACGGTTGGATGACACTTGTGCCTGCATCATGTTGGAGGAGCTTGGCATGTGCTTTTTACACATGTTCTTTTTGGCTTGGTCCCCTTTCTTGACCAGTTTGTTGGGCTGAAGAACATGGTGTGAAGGTCTCTGTGAGGCATCGAATCCGGAGCCGTTCAGAATATGAACCGAACAGTTGTTAAGACCTGGACCAGTGTGCGTGAATGAATGCCCAGCCGATGTGGGGCATCTACGCTTTGACTGATCACCAGCTGCAACATCCGAACGACTGCAACATCACCCACATCACCCGGACCCGTCGCAGGCGCTCTTTTCTCACGTCGCGTTTACGCTCCTTGAATTCGACCGAGAAAGCCGCCGACCGATTTCGCCGCCTAACCTGCCCGCATCAGCATCTCCTTTTTGGAGCCACAATAGGGGCAACATCTGTTCTGAAGGAACTCCAACTCCCAAGTTTCCTGGCGCCGAGTCACGAGGAGAGGCCAGGCATGGCTGGCAGGCATGGCTGCCAGGCTGGCGCACGCAAACCATACCGTTGGCAAACAAAGCAAAAGACCGAGGTAAACCGGGATGATGACGAATCAAAGCTGCAAGGATTTGGTACGTGGGAGGGTTGGCTGTTGGCATGCATGCTGTTGCTGTCACCCCCTGCGATGACGTCTCATGGGTCGACCATGTCAGGCTCTGTTTTTCTCCAACATTGATCCTGCAATGGCTTGGATTTCTCCGCTGGGCCGTCAACCCGTTTCCCCTGTCCCTATCTGACTTCGAGAGCTCCATCTTGGATGAGTCGAAGAGAAACCCGTCCAAAGACCGAGACTTGCCCAACCCAAGACCACCCGATGGATGTGGATCGGGTGGGCACCCACTTCATTTGGGAACGGCCAGCGCCTGGAACCGCCCTGCCGCCCGAACCGCAGCCTGGTGGAAGAAGTTCCCGCAGGCACCACACACGGCGATCGCCACCTGTTGGGATTCATTTGTTTGGAATCGCAGTGACTGTTTCTGGCTTCTGTGTTTTGTGATGTTCTGCGATGTTCCTGTTTTTTTGGGGGGCACTCGACATGGACTGGAGGCGCTCGGTCTTGACGTTGCCCTTTGTGGCAGTTCCCCTGCAGTTGTGCTGCAGCCTCAACTGGCAGGATAAAGTTCTGCGCCATGCATGATCCATACAAATGGACAGGTCCAGGGAGAGCTTGGTCAGACAATCCCGTCTCAACTTGGGAACCAAGTTACTTGCGGATGACGTGGTTTTCTTCCAAGTTACTGCGTACTTCGCAGTGCACCATTCGCGTACTTCGCAGTGCACAGGAGAACTCCGGACATCCACCCTGGACCAAGGACTCAATCCGACTTATCTCTTCTTTTCCTTCGAAGCTTAAGCTCGCCACGTACCCCCCCGACGTGGCCCCGACGGCTCATCGGCTCGGCCCCTTTTTTATCGCCGCTGCGGAAGGGTCACCAAATGTCACCAGTGTTTGCCATCGCGTCTTGTCAGCTTTCAGCTGAAGTTGGCTGAATGACATTTTGAGAAACAGAACTCAACAATATGCAGACCTCACTGCGTGGAGGCACAATATGTGGCTGACAGATTTTTGCTTGCCAGATTGCTAGGGCACATTTGTGGCACCAAGGTCAAGCAAACATTCTCGTGCGGGTCGCAATACCCGAAGTGTTGACCTGAGACGTTGTTTGAGTCGTGTCGCGGCGCTGACGCTTTCTTTTCGGCGTTTCTGGATGGTTCATGGTGAGAATCCATCACTCTGACTGAACAAAGAGCGGGGGATTCTTGTTGTTTTCGTATGATTTCACTCTAGTGCGTGACCTCGGAGCTCCCGGAGCTCCATGCGAGCGATTAGAATCATATCCACAAAACTGGTATGTCCCATGATCTTCTACCCCCCTGGTTCCGCGATCCACATGGAACCTGAAAACCACGTCAGGTTGTGGAAGCTACTCCTCTAAAGGTCCATATGCGGGTCTCGAGAGCAGGTCTATTCCATTTGGCCCATCCCATCGTCTTCGCTTGGTATGGCTTGGTGCAGTCGCCTGGTGCCCATCCCATCTCCTTTTGAGGTGCTTGAAGGGATACCTTCACTTAGACTTGATGGTCTAAACATGCATGTATAAAATATGTTGAAATAGTCTTTGGATGATCCGAAAGGCATTTCCAGAACCAAGGGAGGTGCCCAAAATAGCATTTAAGACTATAGGGAGTGTACAGAATGTATGATTCTTTCTCCGAGATCCTCACGTCAATCCCTCGCTCAGATCGCGAGTCGAGGTCGGCCCAAACCCAACCGGACATCAGGTCCCAACTCTCGCACCGAGAAACAAAGCAACTCGAAATCACGCGCGTAGACCTGGCCGGCCACTCCGAGGCAACGGGCGCAGCATCTTGAGACCATCGTGAACATCGTGAACTCTGTCCATTTTCTCGAAGATCGAACTGCCAAAACATCGTCCTCCAACAAATTCGATCCCCTCCCATGATCGAGATACTTTACACTTCCCAGACTGGAGAACAGCAGAACCTCCCAACACCACCGTACGCCCGAGTGCGTGCGCACGCCCGAGGAACTCGCGCAGAACAAAACGCCTGGCGAACCAAGCTCTTGGTCTCGCAGCTGAGGTCGCCAGCCCAGACCTCATCACAGCCCTCCACGTGCAAGATGTCCTGAAAAAAACAAAACAAACACGCACACAAACAAACGGAAAGCCGAGGCCGAGACAGAGCTTTTTCGGTCACACCCAACGGGTTCCGGAAAGGTGTTAAAGGTTTGGTTTGGGCGTGGTGTTGGGAGGTTTGGGTGGGGGATTGCTTTTTGTATTTGTTTTTGGATGGCTCTTGTCATATAGTATCGCGATGGATCACGTAATTAATTACGCACTTGGAAGACGTTCTAAAGATGTTCATCAATCGTCTGGTTTTCGGGATGTGGGGGGTGGGATATGGTGGGATCCAATCAATTTTGGAGAGAATATGGAAGAATTCAAGCATTCTTCCGTGCTTCATCACTGGGAGAGCTTGAAACTGCCAAGTCTCACTGGTGGCAATGCTCATGGAATAGCCATACTCTTCAAAGAGCTCGTTGGCCGTCTTCGGGAAGTACCGATTGTCCACTGCCAGCGTGATGCCATATGGTGCATCAAAGTAATGCGCCTGCGGGAGGAAGGCGCATTCCTCGGAGTAGGGGTCAATGGCTCCGGAGAGGATTCCTTGCATCTTCTTCTTAATCCTTGGATTTGCAGCTTCCGGCGAGCCGGGCAAAACACATTGAATGAAACCATTTAAAAGGCACCCTCCCCAATGCCATGTCACGCTTGACATGGATGGAGCCTTCGGGAAAGTGGATGGATCCACAATACTGCACCTGGGACTCACCCGGGACTCGCTTCATCCAGGACTCGCAGTATCCACCTCGCACGTGAGGCGCTCCGGGCCCCAATCGCCTCCGTAACCCGGATAGCTGCCCCGGAACTGCGCCACCAGGCGTTCGTAGGGGTCACGGAGCACTCCGAAGCGCTCGTGGTCTCCTAAGGAGACGAACCGTTGGGAGAACTGATTGGGAGAACTGAACCGTTTAGTTTTTGGGACAGGTTTTGTTCTTCGCTTCAGTGCCACAGAGCACGAGCTGCTGGACTGGGTCCCTTTCTTCGTCCCTTTGGTTCTGTTCGCTCCTGAAAATCCCTCTCATCCACCCTTCAGTGTCTGCCAAGCCTCCGAAGTAGGCTTCGGCTAAGGCAGTGGGCCAATGTTTGCCCGGGGTAAAATACATCGGGCCTTGCCAGCGACAGCCCGTCATGGTGCAAACTTTTTTTTGGAAATCCACAAACGGAGAGAGATGCTTGGTCCGCGTGCTTTACAAGACATATCAGTGGCATTTTGGGGGAAAGAACACTTCTTGAATCTTCTTGAGATATGCTCAAGTAAAAGTATGTTCCCTCTCAGTCTTCTCTTGGATGGGACATGACAGGATGCAGTCATGTTTCATTCTCAATGGGCTTATTGGGCTTGCCAAACGAACACGGCGAGCAAATTTGGCAAGCTATTTCAGCTAAGATCTTACCTGAGCTCATAAGGTCTAACCATAATGTAGTATCACATCACCAGGTCTCACCATGTTTGCATGTTTATGCAAACAAAGCAACACATACACTCCGAGTTACAAGTCTATCTATCTATCTATCTATCCGCATTGTGTCTATATATCGACAACTGTACCAACACACGTACGTATACTGTATATAATATATATATATATAATATAAATATAGACTATATGCAGATAGATAGATAGATTGCCCCTCACGGCTGCTTGATGCTAGAGGAACATGGTCATCCGTTCGGGGCCACTTTCCATCCACGTAACCGTGATTCTTTCAGGGTGTTTTTTGATGTTTTTTTGGGTGCTATCCTGCATCCCCGTGAAGAACCGTGAAGCTTCATTCCAAACGAATCGATTCGGACTACATCACTGGATGTTTTTGCTTTGGTCACTGCTCCCCGGGCGGGCGGGTTCGGGGGTTTCCCCGCCCGGTTTGAATCTCTGTTTCTTCCTCCAGTCAGGCGGCAGCCCGTGATGTTCGAGATCTCATGCAGTTCAGGGTTCATTCGGCCCCAGAGCTCCCCTCCGGGCACTTTCAAGCGTTCCAGCAGCTCACGTTGGTCGGCCTAAGCACGTTTGCAATGGTCGTTGAAGTCCCAAACGGTGGTGGACACGGTGGTGGACACGGCGAAAAGAGATGGTGTGGATAGGGGGACACCTGTGTCAAAGACTGGTTGCCTCAGTCTGGTGCCAAGAGTCTCCTTTTCTGGCCGTGACAACTAGCTTTATAGCTTTCTGCATATGCTGCATATGTCTTTATACTCAGATTCTGACTTCTTGCCTTTTCAGTCCAGCTAGGAGCTTTTTGACAGCATTTGGCTGATCTCCACGGAAACACTCATCCCACGGAACCCCACGATTCGTTCCCCACGACCTCTATCGGGCTCTAAGGAACTTCAAGAGTCAGCCCTTCCACGATGAGCTGTCCTTCCAAGTACAACCTCTCATGGCCAGATCCTGCGAAGGCCACTTTCTCGATGGTATGTCCAAAGTTGTAGGGCACGTGCGCGAACACCATCTGATGGTCCCTGTGATGGTCTCTGTGACCGGAACTGCTTCCAGCGACGCGCGATTCCGCGTCGCGCGAGGAGTGTTCGCGGAACGAGTCGCCCGTCGTCTCGAGAGCGACTTGCAAGAACCTCGGTTCTTCGACTCGAGGAGGAGTTCAGGAAAACAGTTGGATGGTGTCGAAAAACGGAGCATGTTCAAGCCGAGGCTTCTGGGGGGGCAGTTTGTAGAACGTGGCACTTTGGAGATTGGTTCCAGCCTTTAGAATCTCAGAGAGATGAAATTGCGTTGGAGAAGCCAATGCGATTGAACGAAAGTTTGAAACACAAAAGCCTCTGAAACACAGAGATCAATCACAAGCTCCGAGCAAATCATGCCATAGCATCCGAGATTCAAGGGCTCAGATATGTTCTCGTCAAGGCCAGTCTTGTAAGCCCAAGCGAAGCCAATGCAAGTGAAGACTCTTAACATACCAGGACCGATGCCACAGCATACGCTGGGCATATATGAAACAGCTTCAGTTGGCGAAGTGGTGCGAAGTGCGCACCAGAGTTTAGTGTAAAATCATGATGCTCCGCCATCTGGCAAGCCAAATGGCGACGTGAAGGAGCTTGGCAAGCTCCAAGTGTTTGACATATCCAACCCCATGAACATCGGTTTGTTTCACCACCCTTATACTACTCTTTGAATACCTTTGAGTCTGTACTTACAATCTCAAAGGACATGCCCCAACATTCCCCAACTGTACGACAGGACGATCCTCTTTATAGAGTGTAGAAGTTTACAGTAATTCGCAACCCCATCCAAACCAAAGAAAACCTGTAAAACATCCCAATGAGATCACCCAAATACACCAAAATACACCAATGCCAATCCCACATCAAAATGTCCAAAACTATATAAAACAAGTCCTGGTCTAGAGTTTGGCCAAACCAAACACTCGATCTCGCAAAATACATGACCATAGACGAAAGCGGACAAACACACGGCAAAACGGTTTAAGAGCCACATCTCTTCGGACCTGCACCAATCTGGAGTGTCAGAAATCGTCTTCTTGGGTCCTGAGATGTTTCCTTTTTGTGCCTTCTTTGTCTTGTTGAGTTTTCCAACAAATCCAATGGATCCAAGAAATCTACCAGGACCATCCTGTCTGGGTGTCCTGGCTATGCTACCCACTACAATCCGAAATCTCCAAACAGGACAACCCGTGGACGGTCTAGGTAAACCATGATATATTATAGATCTGAGGATGACTCTGGCTCACAAATCCCTGTTGACATCTGTTGAACATTCCAGATAGTCGCAGAAGCCAAAGCTTAGTTCTCTCGTGTTCTCTCCCTCCCTCTCATGTTGGAAGACTCCACCCATCCAAATCCTTGGGACTCAACATGACTCCACCCACTCCACCGGCCAGGGTTGCAAATCACCCCACGCTTAAACCCCACGCACGACCCACGCACGAGTCGACCCGGTGGACTGACCGGTAGACCGACCGGTCTGCCGACCGGTTCCGCGTAACCCGCGGAACCCGCGGAAGAACCCGCGCCTCGGGGATCATCGACCGGAAGAAGCGCACCGGCAACAAGGGGCTGAAGCGCCGGAAGTCCGCGGTGTACACCTCCTCAGGCCTCGCGGACGAGTCCGCGACTCGCGAGTCAAAAGTGGGGAGAGGTGGGGAGGTGTGGTGGGCCAATGGAAGAACATCTATGGGGTTTTCGGTTGGCAGCCTTGAAGCTTTGAAGGAAAGGAGAACAAGAAAGGATGCAGGCAAACTTGCCTAAGTTCATCTGGAAGAAAGACACCTACAGTACCATACGTGGTGCTATTTCAGATGAGGGAACTTTTGCTTGGATCCCCTCTCTTTCTTGTTCGCTGGAGCGGAGCCCATGGAGCCCTCCTCGTTCTTGCTTCACAATCCGAACTCATCTGAAATCCATCCTTCTCTTCATGTCGCCCCCGTTTTCCTCCCATCCTCAAAATTCGACATTTCCCCGAAAGGCTACACTAGCAGCAGAAGGAAAAACCAAAAAACCTATGAAAGCAAGACCGGCAGTCCGTTAGAACGTGCACTTCTAAAAAACTTGCAAAAGTCACAACGCATGCGCACGCGGGCACATGCCAAGTTTGCTATACATTATTGCTTACCCAACCCCCCACCCCCTCCACCTACCTCCAGACGTTTGGGCAGAACAACCACGACCGATATCAAATTCAGTGACAAACAAATTTGACGCACTACCTCTTCAAAGAAAGCAGGCCACCATGCTTGTAACAAACCCAAAAAAATATCCACCTGTCGTCCACCTGTCCTGCTCTCAACACATGTTCAGCCGTGTTAAGACCAAGGCATCATCAGACCAAACCCAACTCAAATACCCGGAATGCACCTGAAAATCTGGATTTCGCTATAAAAAATACATACTTTCGCTATTAAGAGGTACCCTGCACCTGAAACCAACTTGTTTGAAAAGAGACCAGGTCACTCCGGGTCGCCGGGTCCGAGCCTCAAATCCGCCAGCGTCTCGCGATCGATTTTCACCGGCTGGTACCTGCGAGAGACCGCTAGACAGGCCCCTCCCTAAGAATCCGAACGGGATTCTGACACCGGAATGGTGTAAAGGTCCAAAACACTCGAAGCCAACCCTATAGGTGGCGCTAGGTCTGGGTTGATTGGGCCCGGATTCGATCCGGGCTGGTCGAAACCCTCCCCGCCCAACGATCCACCCAACGATGCCCGGAACAGCAACTCATGGTGCTTCTTCGAGCCTTTCGGTTTCTCCGGCGCCTTCCTTTTTGGACAGATCGCGGACTTGAAAAAGCATGGGGACTTGAAAAGAACACCTGGCCATGTGAGCAATGGCTTGTTGGCTTGTTGTGGTCTGTCTTTGATCTCTGAATTTCATCCACCAGGGCAAAGCATGATACCAGCCAGCAGGTCCCAGCGTTTCAGCAACTTAATGGGTTGACACTCATGGACTCATGGAATAAGACTTAAGACATGCGACGCCAAAGCTTTCCGTGCCGCCGACTGCACACCATCCCTCCCTTTCGCTCTCATGTCAAGCTGTCTAAACCAAACCGTGCTTTGTCTCGGAGACTGTCCTTAGCCCGACTTGGACTAGACTGCAGATAAACCAATGGCTTGCAAACAGGCTTCTAGATTCTAGATGCTTCAGCTGCTTCAACTTCTAGTATTTCTAGTCCACTTTCATCCACTTTCCCATCTTTTATCGGCAGCTTCGCAGGATTTTCGTCCTGGGTGCGTCTGGGTGTCTCGGCCAAACATGGGCGCCGAGGTACCTCTCTTCGCCCCGTTCGACCAAACCCCCCCGCGTCTCAGTACCACGGCCGCACCGGGTGGACGACAGGCGCACGGCTCGCCAGGGACGAAATAGCTGGCGGCATCTAACCTCAGTTCGTCCCTGGCGGCACCGAGGACTGGCCGCACTGGGTGCGACGCGCGGCACACCCGCCGCCGCCGGGAGAGAAGCGAGTCGCTGCTCGCTCTCCAAGCGCGGCGAGATTTCAAACGCGCGTCGGGCGAGCGGTTGCGCCAGCGCGAGCGAAACAAAGACCTACAGCTTTGGCCTCGGACCCATTGTAGCTGTCAGGCCAAGACGAAGAATCTCTGAAACGTTCCCATTGTCAAGACATGCATCACCTGTGCCACATAATGTAGGAATGTGAAGATATGTTAACGACGCATGCCACAAAGTTTTTCACATGATGAGAAACCAAAGAAACCACGTGGACGGTGGCCTTGATAAAAGCAGCACATGTGACAGGAAAAATCTGTTGAATACACTTCAAGCTTGCTATATACACTTTCTCTCGCTACCATCGAGCTTCGTGTGCCACATGCCACAAGAAATTGGCTTCTAGAAGCCAATAAACCCCACAGCAACCATCTCATCTATGGAAGGTCCTCTGTCCTGTACTTCGCTTCCTCCTTTGGTTCTCTTGTGGTTGGGGGCCGTGTGCCCAGTTTTTCGCATTGATTCTCTTCGAGCGAGTCCCATCTGTGGTCCCGGCATCTTCTGAACGAAGAGATCCGTGCCACCATCATCACCACTGGGCCCCTGCGGATGTCCGACCGGTCTTCATCGGTCTTCATTGGGGGGTATGCACAACTGAGATCCGTACTGGCCCTAAAAATGGCAGCAGTCGGCCCCAACACCTTCGCCCTCAAAACCCAATGTTCGAGGGCCGGGATTCTTGGGGCTGTTTCATTTTGCGAGGACCCAGGACTTGAGCTTCATCTCACTTCACATCAAGGAGACACTGGAGGAAAAATGCACATGCCGAAGCTGAGGACGAAGCAGTCGAAGTCAAGGTGTGGCGATGCAAACTGCTGGGACACCTTAGAATGTGACCTTCAATATCCATGTTCTGAAAAAATGCACAGTGGTCATCGAAAACCCCTTTGACATCCTTTGACCAGCAAGACATGGATGTTGCATGGATGTTGCAGCTTCTACTATGTACACCATACTACACTCACATCTATTACATTGATTCACAGCTTTTACATCCAGTTACCAATGTTACCAATGCCCATACGACAAAAAGACCTTCACTCCCTCTAGTGGAATCCCCAGCCACATGGCACACCACCTCCTAAAACCATCCCCCCAAATGCCACACACCACACCAAAACCAGCGTGCCGGTCTCCTTTGGGCCCGCACCGTGCCGCGCAACGCACCGTGCCCGGCACCGCCGTGTCCCGAATCGGCGGTCGATGGCCTCGTGCAGGGACATCACTTCCGCGCCGCCGCGGGTGCTTTCGTGCCAGCCGTCCCCTGGGGAGGCAGGGAGGCGGCGTGGTGTCGCCCGCGGACGGGTCCGGAGCTTCACCCCGGACCCAAGGACGGTCGCTTTTTCACGTGGGGATCGCGACTGGACGGGTGGCATGAGGTCAACAGAGAAAAACCTCTGGCCCCTTGGAGGAGCCTGACAGGTGCTTGGCATCTCGTTGGTTTCTGTGTTGATAGGGATATCAAAGTTCGTGATCATTCATGGTCCGGTCCATCTGTACTTTGACAATTGTGCCGCTCCAACGTTCTTTGCTCCAACGCAAGCTTTCGATGCCCACTGCTCGCTGTCTCCGTCTCTCTTTCTCTCTCTGTCTGGTCTGATCTGGTCTCTCTTCCCCTCTCACACAAGATGTCACCCTGAAACCGTGCCAGAAACCGTGCCATCGACTTGGCGCCACTTCCTGCTTGGCTGCGCCCTTTTTTGGGGGGGGTCGCCGAGCCGTCTAAGGAGGTGCACATCGTTGGACCGTGCAGGGCCCAGCCTGCACTCTGGGACTTCCGATTGGGCTCTTGGGCGATAAGTCTTTGCGCCTAGCCGGCCGCGCAGAAAGCGCGCGCGGCGAACGGTCGAAACACTGGACCACTCTGCAGGACTCCACAGAGTTTCGGACAGAAGACCTTCCCTGCCATCCCTTGGGCATTGGTTTAGGCGCCCTCTGAAACACCCGAAATCAAAAGACAAACTCGGCAACGGGCCATCAGGATGGTTTTGTGAGTTGGGTGTCTTTTGAGGTGTTTTCCATTTGCCCAAAAACTGTTCGAACGAGATGCAGCAAGCCAGCAAGCAATTCTTCGGATGCAGCAAGCACTCGACTTGGACTACCTGATGGATGCCATGGATGCCAATGGAAGATCCTTTCAGATATGGATGCCAATGGAAGATCCTTTCAGATCTTTCAGGTTGACATAGGTTGAGAACCTCCTCATGATGAGACCCACCACGGGTCAACTCCCGACCAGGTCGACCTTGTTTGGTCCAAGCTCGTCCGAAGAAGCTGCGAACCCACCTCCTCGAGAGAGATATCGGTCTCTGGCTGGAACTCTACCAGTGGTAAAATGTCGAAGCCCAGGAAGGTCCGAATGAATGGATGCCTCAGCACAGCGGACTGCCGGCAAACTGCGGGCCCTTGCAAAGGCGCTTGCGAAGCGGCGCTTGCGAAGCGGAGTTGCTCAAGCATTTGTCTTCAGCTTCTACTTCACCAAACTTCAAACTTCCCAAGTCATATCCCAAATAAATCCCAAATTCTCCAGACTCTTAGACACGAGCACGAAAGCACAATGGGATTGGGAGCCGTTGAATAGCACTTCATGAAAAACGCCGACGAATTGAAGGTTTTGCATCCAAAGGCTCATCATAAGCCGAAAGGCAACAGCGGCAAACATCAAAAAACTGTTTTTTTTCCCGGAGTTGCAGGCGCCCAAACTGACCCAAACGAGTAAGCAAGAGTCAGTGTTTTCTTGCGGGGGAACTCACAGGCCCTGTTGAGTTGGGTTTCCCAGCGTCATGTTCTCTGGGTGGCCGGACCCGCAGTTGATGCAGGAGTCCAAGTTGGAACGCAGCAGTGGATTGGTGGTCATGCACCAATTGCACACTGGAAGCAAGTCATCCTGCGGAGAAGGCTTCCACTGACATCATGTGACATCATATGACATGATATATGACATCATATGTTCAGTCATTCTTACCCAGGTTCAGTGTTACTTCGCTTCCCCTGACATCATATGATGTCCATCTTCCACATCTTCGGTCTCGCCCGAGTTTCGTCCGGTTCCCTGTTTCTTCGGTCCCGCCCCAGTGGCGCGGGGCCATGACGATAGGCACCTTGAGACGAGCTCCCCTATGTTACAGAAAGAACAGGAGTGAGAGTACCCAAGTATCTCTTCTTCACACAGTCTTTCCACATATAGTATCACGTATCTTCACATGAGTTCTGAATGAAGTGATTAAAACAAAACAATCTCCACATGTCCTGACATCCTGACGACCCCCTGTCAAGGAAGGACAGCCCACGACTCGCCTGATCACTGTAAGCCTTGGAGCGGATGGACAAGCAGGCCAGGTCGATCTGATGTTGCCACGTGGGTGGTACTCTGAGCACCTGCACCGCTGCAGAAGATGACGAAAACGAGGACGATGACCAAGAAGAAGAAGAAGAAGAAGAAGAAGAAGAATCAACAAGAAGACAAATAGTAATCAGAAGAAGAGAAGAAACGAAAGAAACACGGAGGCAATGAACATGAAGACCGTTTTTGGAACCCAACACCCTTGTGCATTGACCCGGTCAGGTACTTCAAGCAAATAGATCAAACGCTACTCCAAGCCCTGGCAGTCCGTCATTCCGGCCATTGGGCCACTGGGCCGGCTTCGCTTATATAGACACCCCAAATAGATAGATATCTCATGATATCTCCGTTTTAAGGCTGTATTGGAAACCGTACCACTATCTATATTGGGGACCACGACGAAAGACTACAAGAGCTACAGCTCGAAGCGAGATAACACGAAGCCAGCGATCCACATCAGCCACGCAGCAACGACCGCCGAGATCGGCCCAGAAGGCTGAATCGAAAAAAAGCAGAAATGATCCAAGGATGGACATCCGATCACATCACCCACAACGAAAGGATATGAAACTATAGTGTCAAACATGTCGGATCAAACATATATCACACCCAGCATGGCCGAGCCCAATTTTCTTAAACCATCTTAAACCTGAAGATTGTCTTGATATGTCTTGATGCCTTGGCTGCATGCCATGATGCGGACCTGGCAACCTCACCTGGAGTCCCTCTTGCTCCCCAGTCCACCCTTCTGTACCTCCATTCATCTCCTTTTGCAGCGACCACACATCCGTCACCCCGTCCGACCCGCCCACCCGCATCGTTTCATCTATCGACGTCGATATCTGATGACCTGCAGCTTGTCGTACGCCATCCTCGCGAGCTTGAAGGCCTCGCCATCGCGGGCGTTGATTGATCGGCTGGGATTTGTCCCCCCACGCGTTTGGAAGGCCTCGTCAGAGTGTGGTCCGGGTGGTTGGAAGAGTTCCAGTTCTAGGTGGGGAACACTATGGGCCTCTGAGATGTTCTCGGGTTGGAAGGAACCACAACCAGTCTCGGCCAACCTGTTGGACCTCCGAGTTCCTCGTAATAACCGGCGGCTCGAGCTAGCTGGGGGGGGTCGGAGACAGCGGAGGATACGAACCCGTTCAGTGTAGATGTCACATCTTCATGAGACTCAAGGAGTCCTCAAAGATGCAGCTACCATCATTCCTTGCGCAGGATTCCTCGGACCTTTTCACCTCTTTTTTCCCAACCAACTGGACTATGCCATAACTACCGTTGAGAACCCTACCGGCTCTCCACCGCTTGCCAAGGGGCTCCTAAGCTCTGAGACTGCTTCGCCAAGGCGTAAAGGATGTAGACCCGACTGATGCCCAGCGGCACCTGAACCGACCACGAGCTGCGCCCGGAGCGGGTTTCCGCCCCGCGCTCTGCGCGCCGGGGGGGGTGGACGAAAGGGACGGTCGGTAGGTCTTCAGCAACTTGAAGAGAGAGACTCTTGACTTGGCCACCAAAACAATGGACGACACGAGTCTGCCCCTCGTTTTTGTTGGGAGGCCTCCATGAGGTCTCAGCATTGGATTTGAGAACACCTGGATTGTGCCACTATGTAACGTTCGGTTTCAAGGAGCCATATTCCACCAACACATGTCGGTAAGCCTTTGACCTCCTATGCATACCTGCCTGTTACCGACACCTGCCTATACTTATAATTAGTGATGAGTCATTAGTATACACCACCATGTCCTTCATCTTCCTGGCCTACTTTCGGCCCGACCCGGTTGGTTCCCTACCACCGCCACCAAGCCACTCGCCTCGCCACGCCTCGCCCAGTTCCCCAGGTATTCCCACCTCCTTGAGAAGGTGACCCTTCGCTTGAGCACTGGACTCCGCACGGGACCTCAGCTCCGCTCCACTGGACCGCGAGAGACGGCCGAGCGGCTCCGGGAGAACGGCCGGCTCCACAGACGAGGAGGGAGCGCGCGAGGTCCGCAACAGAGCGCGTTCGGACCACGTGGCATTTGTTTTCTTTCGTCCTTTCTTCTTGGATGGGGGGGGGCAAATGCCGGTGATGGTGGGGAAGCGAAGCTCTTGATGAAAAGTGGATGGTTGTTTGCATGCTGCACCCACTCGCTCCGAAATCATCGGAACCTCTTCAAAGTCCCAGTCTCCATCTATGATCATCTATGCACCCACCAGGGCCCCCTAAGACTTCCAAGGGACAACTTCCACCACAAAACAGCCACACGGACAAGCTCTGAATGGGGAGAGAACGAGCAACTCTTGGAAAGAGTCGACCATGGCATTCCTGGGTTTCAGGAGAAACATGGATTAAACCATGGCATTCTGCCCTCGTTTGGGGCCAGACTCCGTCCATCTCTGTTTGGAGACCTCGGATGTCTCATCCGCTCACCATGAAGTCCTCTAAGCCTTGGACCCCCCCGCGGTGCGGAATCGACATCAACACCACCCGCTTCGTCGCGTTTTCGAGCTTTGTGGCCCAGAAACACGTCCGCGGCGGTTTCTCCCCAGCCACGTTTTCGCTCGGGCAGCGTTTGGGGTGTGTATTTTAGCAGGGAGACCTCCCAGGAAGACCGCCTGGAAGAAGGACACTAGACCAGTCTACCGGGCTTTGGCTTTGGTTGGGAGGTCTCGCTCTGAAAATACACAGCCATATCATTTGGGACTCCGCACTTCTCTAAGAAGGCTGCTTCTGCTTCTGGACCCCCTTGCACCTGCAGTTTATGGAATGTAGAGTCTGTAGAGTTTTCCTCCAGGATCAAGGCCTTGAATAAACAAGAGTCATCAAGAGTCATCTGTGGAGTCCCGAAAAAGGGACTGTTCAGCAGGGACTCCAAAGGACGGCAGGACGCACATCTTAAACCAAACCAATGAAGCACAAAATGGTTTCCACTGCCCAAACATGAGACGATGGACTTGGTCGCCAGGGTGGTTTTCTCCGCAAACAAGAAACATGAACCTTGCCCAAGCAGTGCGGCGGTATCCTGCCGAACAAGCAACTTATATAGTTGAGCTGAGCTTTACAAATCTAGCTGTAGATTTTCATCGTCAACTTCATACGATGTGTTTGGTGCTTCACTGGGAGCCCCATTTCATGCCCCGATGTCGACATGAACTTATGGGCTTGCCGGATCTTGCCGGAGCCAGTCCGTGCTGGCCTGTGCGAGGAGATTGGAGACTGGCTGCGCAGAGAAACCACTGGAGGCCAGGATATTCCACCTTGGGAGACAAGAAAGACTGGCTTTCTTCCACCCTGGGAGTCCAAAGCCAATGCCAATTCATGTTCATCAACAACCACACTAAAACAGTGAGCTGAGATCTTTGAAGTGCAAAACAAAGGCCTCTTCAGATGGTCCGACGAACAGTGACCCATGGTGAAGGAGCTTCCTTTCCTTGGGGCAAAATACGGTCTTTGGACTTTTAGGGTTCTTCCTACACTTCCGAGGTCCTCACATGGACCCTGAGAATATATTAGATCCTGGCATCCTGAAAGATAAAAAATCCTGAAAGACAGTGTTCCTCTAGCAGGTTTCTGGTTTTCAAAAGTCCATGTTGCAGAAAAAGACATCACTCTTGCTGACTACTCAGTCCTGTTTAACTGGGATCCATCTTAGAATACTGAAAAGGGTCCTACGAGTTGAATCGGGTCTGCGTGGGGTCTATGAGAGTCTACGATGGTTCTGCTGTGGTCTTGTCAACCCCAAAGTGGCGGAAACTGAGCATGGACTGAACCTTTTTATATAAACGAATGCCCACTCCTGGACGAGACGACACACGGGGCTCTGGATGATGGTTGTATTCTCTCATATATCGTCTCGTCGCCGGCCAGCGTATGATTCTACATGTTCTCATATTCCACCGAACACCTCAGTAACTCTCGAAACTGATAGAACATCTCAAAGAAAAATCCTCCTCCCAAAGGACACATTCACCTTGTGAAGGTGTTCAGCAAGCCCAGCCCGCGGCCCAGCCCCCGCATCTTCCAAGTGGTCCAAGTGGCAAGAACAAGGCGCAATTAAACACATGCTCCGGCAACAGTGTGGTGAAAGGCTCCTGACACGGTGACTCAGTCTGTATCATCTCTGAGAGTCTTTGAGCACCAAACAGCAAGGGGATGTGAAGAAGAGATGAAGTTCGGTGCATTAAGGGATGACAATGATGAACGCCCTTAGTCTTAGTCTTCTTCTGTGACGTTGCCCTTCCATGCACTTGAGCCGCTGGTCTTTGCTTTGAAACACAAATTGTGGGCACCAGCACTCCACACCAAGACAAATCAGCGATCCCGCCTGGATATAGGAGTGGATGTACGAATAGGCCTCAGAGCTACACACACTGCAGAGGCGTCCAACGAATGACATGGTACGAACCTTTCATTCATTCATTCATTCCATGCCATGCCATGCCATGCCATGCCATCCCATCTCCTTCCTCTCCTTCCTCTCCTCTCTCTCCTCTCTCTCTCCTCTCTCTCCTCTCTCTCCTCTCTCTCCTCTCTCCTCTCTCTCCTCTCTCTCTCCTCTCTCTCCTCTCCTCTCCTCTCCTCTCCGTGCTTCATTCATTCATATCCCTCTGTCCCTCTCTGTCTGTCTCTCTTTTCATTACTGGCTTCTGTCACAAGATCAGTCAATCGCCAAAAGTCAAGACAAAAGAAACACATCGATCTTCTTTGTTCAAACATCCAGCTAGGATTTTTGGACACATTTTGGGACACATTCAGCTGCTCGAAGACCAAGGCCTCCGGCGTAGTAAATATCCGCCCTCCGCCGCAGCTCCCAGAAGTTGGAGACCAAGGCCTCGTTCCGCCGCAAAGCCTGTCAAAGCGTGGTCGAACGCGGAAACACCAGGCGTGTCCAGTGGTCCAGGGCACCCCCTCAGTGGAACAAATCATGGTGGACACCCCCACCCTGCCCCACCCTGCCCCCCACCCCACACCGGCGTTGCTGCGCCACACTCTCCATGTGTCCCATCCGGTGGCACCTCTTCGGGGCCGATGTCCTCCGGCGGTGGTGCGGCGACCATCTCCAGGGCCAGGCGCCAGAAGTACCCGGCGGCGTCCTCGCGCCACGCGCGGCCGAGTGCAGCGCGTGCGAGTGCAGCGGCGGCGCGTGCGAGTGCAGCGAAGACGTCGCGCTGAAAGGGAGAGAGGGGCGGTGTGGGGCGGCTTTTGGAGACAGCCGAAAAGGAGGTTGGAGGAGGTTGTGAAGTGGAAGAAGTTGAGATCTGTGTGTTTTGGGGCTGGATGGAGTTGGGCTGCTGGTCAAGCCAAAAAAATCTCCGACACCATGATGTCAGCCTCATGTTTTTAAGGCTCAGGGAAGGTATATAGACCCCAAAATAGATACGAGAACAGATTGGCAAAGATGATCCCCAGTACGAATGTACTGGGAAAACCGTGCCACTATCTACTTGGGACCACTTCGATCATTTTGAGAACTTCTGGATGAGTTTGTCCCAAAACCTTCCAGGTGAGGACGAAGTCTCTGGGTTGGGAGTGGACACCTCTTCTCACCTCGGTGCAGGGAGCGGTCTTCAAGCAGCAGGGAGCGGTGTCGGCCGAGCTCGCTTTCGGCGTTCGCAAGAAGACTAAGACCATTCAAGACCTCATAACTCATAACTTCTAATCATACTTGGGCCTTGGGTCATATCCCATTCCCTCAACCCGAGTGGATGAGACCATCAGGTATATTGGGGCCGAGGTCTCTAAATCATTCTGAACTGTTTCTGTTACAGGTCATGGGACACACCCCTAACCATACATTCTAGCTGTCGGGATTGTTGGAATTCCCTTGGTCACTTCGAGTTCCAGCTCCCTGTAGCTGGGGAAGAACTAGATACCCCTGGCCACCCAAGCCGGACCCGCTTTCTTTTCTGAGCAAACGCCTCCATAGAGACGTAGTTTATAAGCTGTATAAACATAGATTTTGGTTAGAGGGGCGGCATTCAAGACCACTTCTTTGTCCTTGGTGCCCTTGTGGCTTTCAGGGGCGGGCCTCCGAACGCCTCACATAGCCTCACATCACTCCTCACTCTCGTGGCGCACCGAGCGGGCTTTTTTGACCTCCCCTGTGCTCGAGGTCCAAACAGCTCTGACTAGAGCTGAAACGTGCTGAAAGACTGAAGGACACTTGCGCGTTTCATATGGTCAATGTCTTCCAATGTCATCTTCTGTTGTCATCTGTTGTAATCGGTCATATGGTTTCAATATGTTTCAATATATCTCCGCTGCACAAAAAACAACGAACATCAACGCACCAATCACTGTCCTCCTCTGAAAGCACCACGCACCACGCACCCTTCTGCACCGCGACTCTCTCAGAATCTCTCAGAACCTCTTCACCAGGCACCGCACCGAAGGATCGTCCGCTTCCGGAGCTCGGAGCAGCGCTGCTCCGCCGGTTCAGCGTCGACCTCTGGGGGTCGGAGCGCCACGTGCCACGTGGCGGGAGCGAGTCGCTTCGATTCGTCGCTGGATTCGTCGACCTGAGTGTTGATTCCTCGAATGCCTTTCGGATCATGCCACTGACATGAAATGCTTTTCGGCTCCAAAGACCTGGGAAAACACAGATTCACCCGCGGTGTCTTGACATGGTGTCTCCGCTTGACCCTGCTTGATGATTCATGGACTGGGGTGCTAGTGTCTAAAAACCAGCAAGAAACAAGGACCTCTTCCAGCAGGCCTCTTGCCGAAGAGCTCATCTCATGCTTGGATCTAATCTAGTTCTTCTTGGCCATCAAGTGGAAGGAGCCTTGCAGCACAAACTTCTTGGAACTGTGAACCACCGGGGAAATCCGGCACATCTTTTGCCAGCCTGTGTTTTTCTATCTCGGTTTTTTCTTCTTGGAGATGAATCCTACCTTGGTTCTCGGTTCAGAAGTTGTTCAGTCCAAAGTCTATCGGAGTCTGTCGCTCGCTCCCACGACCCCCGCCACCTTCGTACTACCTTCGTCCCCTCCGACCATGGACCTCATGGACTACCGACCTTGAGGCGGTGTGAGATTGTCCTATCAAACGACTCTTTTTCGGCTCAGCAAATCACATTTGATCACATTTGATCCAAACATCTCGTGGCTCTGGCCACAGCACGTATCGAAAACAGTGCAGCTTAGGTTCCCCATCTTCCGCTGCCTCTGCAGCTTGTGCCGCTTGTGCTTTCAGCCTCTCTTCGCCTTGGCAGAAGAGAAAAAAAAAATCCAGGTTCAAACCCAGTTGTGTAGACCCTTGATTAATAATCCTCCTATTTGGATTGTAAGACCTTTTCTGTGGGCCTTTTAGTGATCAAGAGTCTACATTAGCTTTGGACTTGGGACAACCGTCGCACCCCAAACACCCTCCTTCGTTTAGGCTCGCCAAGCTGCCTCCCAAAGCTTCCCAGCGATGCTGATTTTTTTTTCTTCGTTTTCCGATTCTTTCGGGGGGGGGATGAAGCGCTTCGAAATCGCTGCCACGAACCGTGGCACATGGCTAGTATCTGGGCTCAAGTGGTTTGTATCTGATTCATCCTCAAACAATTCATGACTTTTATCAAAAGATTCTATACCATCAAACTCCACCGCAGCGACGAGAACTTCACTCGGGCAAATCAATGTTGAGTTGCCGGTGAGGTGCCATTGTGTTTGCCAGAATAACAATCCGTTGCTAAGCTTTCGATTCTCGCACTTCCAAACATTTCCAAACGTTGAACACTTCTCTCTTCTACAAACATTTCACATATGTTCTAAACACCAAAAACACACCGCGGCTTTTGGGTGGTTGACCCGCATGATTCCTTGAAGGGTGCTGGTGGCTTAGCAGCACGTCCTTCTATTCGAGCGAAGCATTGATGTTTCCATGTTGAAGTGGTTGCCACTGACCCGCCACATCCTGGGCCTCCCCACGCCGCTGCTTGCGGGCAGCCAGGTCCGCCGCAGCTTCCTGGAGGATGGCGGACGTGGATGGAACGACCTCAGAACCTCTCTGAACACTTTGATCCTCAGGACCTCGGATCTTCAAGGCATATTAGGCCCCAGGATGCCCTAGGCCTGTGTGATCCTGTGTGTCGCTGTGCCAAGCCAAGCACGTTTCACACGCTACCGCTTGCGGTCGGTCGATATGCCCTGCCACCGGCCGATCGCTCCCGCGCCATGCCACCGTGACCGGAAGGGCGCCTCCTTCTCACGTTCCTCTCGCTCACGCTGCAGGATCCCTTTGAACATCTTCGCGGGGTCCAGCTCCGCCTCCAAGCCAGCAACCGCTTACTCATGATCGTCACGGAGAGGACGCCCATTTTCTTGACATCAAGTGCTAAGCCAATCCAAAACAGGTACGGTAGACCAGCGCCTGGGGGGAGCTCACTAGCGACTGTGTGTGATGCATTGAAGTCTTTGAAAGTAGTCATGATATGTCACGATTCATTGCACTCATTCTATCCTCTTTACCTTACGCCTTGCCCTGTAGAGGAACAGGATCCCCATTTCATAAAGGATAAGTCATGGAGCTTCTCATTCTAGTGGTCATATAGATCTTCCCTTTGAGCCACGACTCGTGGGCCTTCCTCTGCCGTGACCGCAACTGCTTCAACTGCTTGGCCACCGTGGTGTCCGCTGGCTCCAAGCGCTGAGCAGCCTGGAGATCGTCCGGATGCGTTCGGGGTTTCTCACCAATCCCGGTTTTGAGGGACCATGCGTCTGGGCTGTGAACGGAGAGTTGAAGTGGACCAGTCGGATCACCGGGTGAAAACACCTCGGTGCCGAAAAAAAAGATCTCATGATGACTCTGCCAGCAGTCACAAAGGGGTGCCTATTGGAGGATAGGGGTGCCCATTATCCACTCACTTAGGGACTAAAAACCACTCCTTTGTGACTCCTGGTGGATCTGTTTTTCTTGCTTAGGTACGGTGCAGCTGACGGCTTGCAGCTCTTGGACTCAGTATTGGACTCATCGTCTACGTTCATCACAAGAGAAGGCTACCCACCATGTCAGTTTCACAGACGGAACTGACGGGCAGTGGGCAGTGGTGGGCAGTGGGCACTGCCCCAAACGCTGCTTTTCTTACATCCTGCCAGGACTCCTGTCAGGTTCTATGATCTCTGTGTCCTGAGAAGCATCCGTCCCAGCTTCCCACCGAAGGATCTGTGGTTTTTATTGGGTTTAGTGGCTTAGGACCATCCGAAGCTCCGGCACCACCAAGTCACTGTCCACGCCTGACTTTCCGCAAGTGCCAAGCTCAGAAAAAACCTACTCCAATGCGTATCCAACACTTAGCCAGCAGTTGAATGGATCATAGTGGGTCAAAAAAAACCCTTCTCACTGTCCTTGAATCCCTTCAATGCCCCCTCCAAGCCTCCCATGTCTCAAACTCCCTGCCTCAAAATCTTCGATCGCGTCTGCCAAATACTGCAACTTCTCCTTGGCCAAGCCTCGTCGGAAGAAGGCTTTGGCTTTCCAAGCACCTTCCTGCGAAGCCCTTCGCAGCATCACCTGAACGTGGATCTGCCAGGGTGATGCACAGGATGCATTTCGCTTGGATCTTTTCTGCAACAAACACAGGACAAAGGATGCTACAAAATGCTTTCATCACACCAACTCCCAAAAAAGCCACCCGCGGTGTGGTTTGTATTTTTTTTTTGCAGTGAAGGAGACAAATCCGGCCCCTCTCATACCCTCTCTACGCAAATAATGGATGTTTGTTGGAATATATAGGATGTATGTTGGAATCTTTATAGCTGGTTTTCGTGTTGCAGCAAGGGGTAGGGTTGCAGCATCGGTTGCACATTGCAAACATCCCTTCTGCGCGACCCTCGTACGCGACCCGAACCATGCTTGCGGATGTTTTGGGAATCTCGTGGTCGGCTAGCTGGCGCCTAGCTGGCGCCACGCCCATCTTCCGACTCCCACAGCATCCGTGCCTGCAACTGGGGCATCTTCTCTGCAATCTTCACCTCGGTCTCCTCGTTCTCCTCGTTCTCCACCGTTCCACCGCTCTCCCCGTGCCGGACGAAAAGCTCGTCGCAGGCGGCTCGGGCGTCGCGGAAGTGCTGCACCGCTTCCTGGGGTCGCACGCTGCGGCGCACGGCAGCGGCACGAAGCGCCGTCAGGGGGTGCCAGGCCGGATTGTTCATAGGTACTACTAGTAACAAGTGCCACGCTAGTAGTAACAGGTGCCTTACTAGTAGGAACAAAGAAGCTATTAGAATTAATTTAAAGAGTCGTGGTCGGGCCCATCAGTCGCTTCGCACCCAAGTCAGTTTTTGGGGGCGAAAAGGTCTTGTCAGGCGGTGGATGCTAGGATAGTAGGTGCTAGGAATGAGTGAAGATGAGGGATGGGTCAAGCCAAACCCCTAACAATTCTGTCGCTCTATGTTGCTCTCAGTCTCTTTTGGCACTGAAGTGGGATCGTTTTAGACTAGGAGGATGTTCGCTCACCACAACTCCTCACGAAGGATGGTTCGCGATTCTTGTTCGCTGCTTGTACTCTTCCCCAAACTCCCCCGGAAACAGCAAGAATCGAACAGTCCAACTCATACTTGTAGTATAGACCAACCTTTGCACCGTGCAAGCCACTTGGCAGTGCTGGATCCTTCTTTTTTTCCGGGGCACAACACCGGTTTTCAACCACCGGGCCGGTGCAGTCCTTGGGAGCGACGGCGTCGCCCAGCTTCAGGCAGCACAACGCCTGTCTTCCGAAACCAGAGGGAGTCGGATCCGTTTTGAGGCGCGTGCGGAGCTCTTGGGGGGCCCGGCAGCGCCATGAAGCTGGGAAAACGCGCCATGAAGCTGGGACCAGGTGTGGAATCAGCGTCGCCGGGGTGTAAATTGTGGGATCCCTCAACTATGTGGAAAATACTCGTTTCGTGACACAAAGCACCAATAGAAAGCGAAATCCATGAGGGGAACAAAATCGAAACAGTGGCTTGGGTGGGCCAAGCCAACCACCGTCAACAAATGAGCGAATAGTCAACACACACTCTAAAAGAGTTTCACCGTCAGTATACACTTTCAACATTGTTCAAGTTGGTGTTCTTGATTGCCACTACAGACATCAACCGGTTTTTTCATTTTCTTCCCACTTTTTGGCCCTCGTGGGCTCTGTGGGGATCAGTCCGGAGAAACGCTCTCGGCGATTCCCGCGCGCTTCTGCGTGTCCTGCCCGGCGTGGCCTGGTTCAGCAAGGCCGCGCGGTCCAATGTGGCAAAACGATCCACATCCTCCTCGCGCCCGCCGCAGAAACAGTGAGAGAATAAGAAACATTGAAGACACATGAAAACTGACTCATAGGTCCGGTCAGAGCATAAAAAGTAACTGGCTGTTCTGTGAGGCTTTGGAACATCTGTATACAAATGTATATATATAATATATATATATGGCGCGCGGTCAATGGCTGAAGTCAGTTGATAGTGTAAGCGAAAAGCAGCTTAGTCACCTTCGGTCTTATCTAGTAAATCTTTAAAGGTTTGCCGTTGCATCGTGAATATGGCCGCAATTGGTTGGTGGCAATTGGTTGGTGGCAATGGGCAACCTTGTTTCGGGATTTTTTCCAACGCGCTTTGGGAATTTTTTCCGCACTGTTAGTGGTCAGGGGTTGCCACAAAGAGAAAAAGAAAGAGAACTAGCGCAGGAGGCAAGGGACAGAAGAGTGGAAGGAGAATGAGAAAAAGGAACAGGATACAAAAATGGCATAGGAGGCAAGGAACAGAAGAGTAGAAGGAGAAGGAGAAAAAGGAAAAGGAGGAAAAGAGGGAGGAAGAGAAGGAGAAGGAGAAAGAGAAGGAGACAGAGGAGAGAGGAGAAGGAACAAGAGAAGGAGAAGGCTCTTCCCGCTGCATCCTTGCAGATCACAATACAGTATACAGTATACACCAGCCATGTGAGAATGGTAGCGCTTACCGGCAAGTCTGAAAAATATAAATGTATGTCCATGCATGCATATGTCTATCTACGTACGTGTGTGTATGTAAGTGTGTGTGAATGTATGTGAATATATGTGTATGTGTATGGGTATGTGTGTCTCTATGTATGTATGTATGTATGTATGTATGTATGTATGTATGTATGTATGTATGCGCTTGGTTGTTTTCTTGGCTGTCGCGATGCGCTGTAGTAGTATCATCAATAAAAGAGCGGCGCTTGGTTGCTTTCTTGGCTGTCGTGATGCGCTGTAGCAATACCATCAACAAAAAGAGCGGGAGGGGGGTGCGGGGGAGGGCGCAGCGCCTCCCCCGCAAGGAAAACAACGTATGTTGAGCATCCCGGCGCTGAAAAACCAATCACCAAGAGTTGTTTCTGTAAAGTGTTTGAGGGTCAAAGGCTTTGCAGGCCAGTCGCTTGCAAACTGGTTGCTGGTTTGGTTTTGCATGACCTGCCTAAATTTAAAAAGCGGGAGGAGGTGCGGGGGAGCGCGCAGCGCCTCCCCCGCAAAAAAAAAGTATAGTGAGCATCCCGGCACTGACACAACATCAAAAGTTGTCTCACATGTGTCAACGTATGCGTGTATATTTGTATGCACGTATGTCAAAATAGTACTTGCACACGCAAAAGAAAAAACTTCCCCGGGAGGGCCCTTACAAAGGGTGCTTCCGCCGTCACCTCTGCGGTACCCCAACATGAAAAACAGCTAGAACCCTCGATCTTACTTTTGGGGTTCTTGGGCCCTTCCTTGCTGACTTCCTTCCTTCCTTCCTTCCTTCCTTCCTTCCTTGCTGACTTGCTTCCTTCCTTCCTTCCTTCCTTCCTCGAAGACAACAGAACCTGGAAAAAAATCCCGAAACACGTTGGAAAAAAAAATCCCACAGAAAATGGGGTTCCGGTGGCAATTGGTTGGTGACAATTGGTTGGTGGCAATTGGTTGGTGGCAATTGGTGGGTGGCAATTGGTGGGTGGCAATTGGTGGGTGGCAATTGGTTGGTGGCAGTTGGTTGGTGGCAAGCGGGAGGCGGGAGGAGGAGGGCGGAGGAGCGGATACCACACTAAAAACAAAAGCCCCACACGTCAATGTGGGGAAGAAGGAGCGATTACGCTGCTTTTCGCTTACATTATCAACTGACTTCAGCCAGCTGCCAACCGTGTTTTCATGTGTTTTCACCTCTAAAGGTGGCTCCTGCTCACGAGCCACAAAGGGTGAGTCTACGACTGTGAACCCAGGTCGAACACCTCGATTATCAGTTGCACCTCCCTTCAATCAACCCGCAAGAATTCTCCCAAGCACGGAACTGGAATATGACACTTCAGCTATGCTGCTGTGCTGAGATTGACAACTCAAACCAAATCCTGAGCCACAACTGTGTCAAACCATGTCAAACCCGATCCACCCGGTAATGTAGACCCTTGATTAGGAACCCCCCATCTGGACTGAAACCCATCTTAATATGGGGTTAATTGATCAAAAGCTTACAGAAAACCAACATCGATCTACAAACCATCCCCCCCTATCTCTCAAACGTCTCAAACCCGAACTCGTTACTGGCCCCCGTCTCTCGTCCTGGCCCCGCTTCAACAGCAGCTTCTCCGGCATGGCCGCCCGCGCGCGCCGGAAGGCCTGTCGGCCCTGCGCGAAGGCGCAGCGCCGGAGCGCGTCGCGGCCCACCTGAGGGGCGGTGCGACGGTGCGAGGGGTCGTTGAGAAATGGACCAAGGACACGAACAACATCTTCGACTCCTTTGGTCAACATCTTCGACTCCTTTGACCCCAAGAATACACCCGGGAAGACCGACATGGAACCTGATGGCATGGACCAGACTGGAAGACTACTTTCCTCTACAACCCCGTGGTTTTCAGGTTCTATGTTAATCTTCCCGGGTGTAACTGGTTGGTGGTTTCAACTCGCGAAAGAAACATATCGGTCAGTGGGATCAATCATCTCAAATATTGAGAATAAACAGATAAACTAACCACCACCCAAAGACTAACCAGATAAGGACACGTTGGGGCTGGATGAATCAATATGCACGGGTTCATCAGGTCCCCCCTCACTCTTGTTGACATCTTTGTATGTCTCCAATCTCAGAACTTTCTATCGGCCCTCATCATGAGCCTCCCCAAACCACAGAATCGTTTCATGCTTTGGGGGCATCGCTGCGAACGGAGCAAGGATGCTACTAGTACCTCCTGGCATTACTACTAACAAATAAGTAACAAAGGGCATCGCTACGAACGGAGCGATCGGACGCTACGGATGACCTTTTCGCCGGATGTCGGTGCCTCCATGTGCTTCTCCGCTTCCAGCATCGCCTGCCGTCCCAAAAAAACCGAACACTTCAGGGCCGTGAGGGGGCGAGAAAAACAGACAGGCCCTGGAAATGCTTGGAAATGGAGACCCTTTGCGACCCTGAGCGCAGCCATTCAACACCCTGCGCCATGGGATTTCGCGTTGGATCGCCACTAAACGGGGTCGAAAGTCTCACGAGGGAACCTGTCTAACCTGTCTACCAAGCTCCTCGATGACAAAATCATAGTACAAACATCAAACGGCTTGGATGGAGTCTCCAAGCAGCTATATAGTAAGAAAGCTAGCCTATATTATGCATGTATACATTGGGTCTATCCTATATTACCAGCAACAGTGGATGATGACGGTTACTAAGGCCCTTCTTCAAAAATATGTGAACATCGTTTACCGACTGTTACAGGTCATAGGACAAACCCAATGTACACACATACTTTCAATGTGCCTTTGTAAAGCTCAATGCACCCTTTGCTCAATGAACCCGCAAACCGAAGGGGCCCCACCACATCTTCTACGCGACGGGTGTGCGAACGTCCAAACGGGGACGGCCCAACTTCCGGGCCTCTTGCAAGTCGTTGCTGAACTTCACGGTGCCGGGCGCTCTGGCAAAGTTGAGCTCAAGGCAGAACCACATGGTCTCATTGCCAGGTACTTTCCGTGGCACCTCGGAAGCTTCCGAAGCAAGAGGAGCTCCGACCGCGCCGGAGACCGCGGGACGCGGGTTGTGACCGGAGACCCGGCGCCCGAGAAGGCGATTCTCTTTCCGAGAAGGAGGTCCGACCGCGATGGGGAGGAAGGGCTCAAGACCCTTTTTGAGGAAAATCCGGTCTCATCCCGTCTGCCTTCACTACTGGATGCGCGAGAAAAGAACATCACCGAAAAAAACAAACACACACACACACACACCTTTGTAGACCCGTGGAGTGTCCCAAACAACCGCAAAAACACACAAAAGATTCTCTTTACATCTTGGACTCGCGACTCGCGCGTTCCATCGCCCAAAATCGAGGCATCGAAAATGGCTAAGCTTCCGAACCCCCTGTGGTCCATACGCATAGCTTGGAGGGCTGCAAATCCAGCACACCTCGCGGTGGAACGCGGTGGGTGATGCGAACAACCAAGCGGATTTGGGGGTTACCACGGCGGCTGAGGACTCTTCAATCTCTTTGAGAGCTGCTTCTTAGTTGTCTTTTGAACACGATAAAACAACATAATTAGTGTTATGCATGTGTATAGTATGTAATACAATTTTTGTATTATAATAGTTAGAGGCCGATCAAGAGCTTTCCAAGTCTCTTTGAGATCTTTTGAGGCGTCAATCTTCTGCAACAAATCCCACCTTGACTGTTCAATTCTGGTCAATTCCTGTCTGTTCGTTACACCTCGGGGCCATCCTCTCACCTCACAGTCACATTCAGAGGCCACAAGCTTCAAAAGGGCGAGAAAAACCACCCGGTAGGGCGATGCCGGGGAAAATGAGTACAGCCTTGTGTAGGAACAAAGGCTGTTTCCATCATTTCATGGACCACTCAAATCAAATTACACCATATGACACCTGGTGTCTTGAACACTCTCATGTGCTTCAGAAAGCCAGCGGCCACTACAATAACACATTCTCAATCAAAATTCTCAAACAATCATCTCCTACTTTGCTCAGACTGCTCCTCTGCAGCAACCTGCAGCAACCTTCTCAGCCTCTTCGATCGAAGATCTGCACCTGAAACACCTGAAACCCAGTTCCCGGTCCCGGTCAGACGGCCTCCCCTGGCCGCATCGAGGCAGCAGCCAACTGCCAACTGGGCAAGGCCTCCCGCCGCGAATCGGTGGACAACGTGGGCGGACGAGTCTTCCGAATGCGCTCGAAGAGTTGGTCTTTTTTGCAAAGGACACCTTAAAAGGTTCAGAAAAAAATGATTTAGCAGGGAATAGAATTAGAATGGACCATCATTTATCAATCTTTGATGTTTTAACCATATTTTTTTCACCAGGAAGAATGGAGCGTTCTTCCCCTCATGCTTCCCGCCTGCTGTCCACCCAGTTGGAAGGCACAGGGAGTTTCATGATTCTTACAGCGGCTGGTCTCCACGCACGAACCATTGGACAAGTAGCTGGCATAATGCAAGTTCACCTCAGACCGCCCCCGGACGCGTGTTTCGCCCCAGTCACCGCGTCGACCACTGGCCACGGGCCACGAGTCGAGTCGGAACGGCACGGTCCCGCCGGACCGTGCCGTTCGGTAGCTGGGAGTCGCTATACTTGGGGTGATGCATAGTGATTCAGAGATATGACAATATACAATATATATATTGTTAGTTTTGTGCCACAAACCTTGGCATTTGCTTCCACCGTGTCGGCACTTGGTTCGAACTCGCCCGAAACAGGGCCCTTGAGTCACCACATGAGGCCACGTCAAAACAAGCGTTTGCGTTGCACGCTTTTCCCCCTTCATGTTCACCCAGTGACTTCGAGCGCACGGGTTCCTGAACTTGGTGTTTTCACCTTGTTTTCCACATTGGTAGCGGGGCCGTCAAAGTACGGCTCCGGGCGCCCGCGATAGCCATGCCTGACGCTTCGAGTTCGAAGCAACCGGATTCCGTAGCTGACAAGTTCTATATCCCCAGGTTTGACAACACGACAGTTGGCTACAAGGAATGGCGAAAGCGTGTCCAGTTGTACGCTCACCGCCAAAAGCTGCAGGGTCGAGAAAAAGAGACTGCCTTGAATATTCTCTCGGTTTTGGAGGGAGCTTCATGGCGACAGTGTGAAGATCTGGAGATCTCTGACCTGGAAAAGGAAGACGGACTGTCGCTCCTGCTGAAACGTTTAGATGCTCAGTGGCAGTACGATGAGAAAGTCGAGATGCCTGAAGCTTTTGACAGATTTTTCTTCAAGGTGATGCGCAAACCTGGACAGTCCCTACTGGAGTTTTGCACTGATTTCAACCAGGCACTTCGTGAGCTGCTCAAGTTCAAGATTGACCTCCCTCCTGAGGTCAGTGGTTGGCTCATGTTGAGACGTGCCGCATTGACAAGAGAGCAACAAGTGATGGTGCAGACACATGTTGGGACAAAGTTGACATTGAGTACAGTTGAGCCTGCATTGTATCTGCTGTTTGGACAGGATCACCGTCATGCCCATGTCGCTCAACGCCGGATTCCGTTACAGCAGGGACGATGGAAGAACCACCGACTTGTTCATGCAGTGACTGAGGAGTCAGAGGACGTTGAGGACTGGGATCAAGCGTACTATGAAGTTGAAGATGGTACTGAGACCTGGCTTGAAGACGACTACAGTCCGACTGACACGTACTGGCAGGACGATGAGGAGACAGCATTCGTTGATGCAGCAAGCACGGATGAAGCATCCCTGTTCGACACAGAAGAATTCGATGAAGTGTTTGCAGCATACACAGATGCAAAGAACCGCATGCAGCAGCTTCGACAGAGCAGAGGTTTCTATCCAGTTGTTGCAATGGTTGATCAGAGACAGATGCCAGTATCTTCATCTATGCCACCTTCTTCACCATCATTTGGAGGAGGCAAGAAAGGAAAAGGAAAGAAAGGAAAGTCCGGAAAGTCTTCATCCTCTACCAGCGGAAAAGGCCCTACCGGCAAGGCTCGTGCAAAGGATGCCATGCAGTCCATGAATGAGACCCGAACGTGCTTGAGGTGTGGCAAAGTTGGTCATTTGGCCGCCAATTGTCACAGCAAGGCTACTTCAAGAAGAGGGTCTTAGAAGATGGCGATCCGTTGTTGGCCGGCATGGCATTGACAGTTGAGCCAGCAGAGGATTCCGATGATGAGTTCAAGGAGGTCGAGGAGGCCTACGCCCAAGGAGAACAGCTGGTGAGAGCCGGCGGATGGTTGACAGAGAAGCCTGACATCGCGATCCAGGACCAAGGGGCCAGCAGTTTCCTTTTGGGCACAGAGTACCTGTTGAGGTACGTTCGATGGCTGCAGTACAAAGGCTTCAACCTGGACCAGCTCGAGTTCAAAAGATGTGACAAGCTTTTCAGGTTCGGAGGGGATGCAGAAGGTTCAGCGAGGTGGATGGTGTCCCTTCCAGTTCTCATTGAGAATGTGCCCGGACGCATTCAAGCGTTCATCATCTTCGGAGCACTCCCATGCTGCTTGGACGACCCATTTTGGAGCGCTTGCAGGCAGTTGTTGACTTTGGAGGAGGCCGTATGAAGATCATGGGAGGCGCTTGGAGGGACATTGAGCGTGGCAAGCAGGGAAGCATGCTCCTTTCCCTGTGCAGTCATTTGTTAGATGCCTCACAGCTGGACAACCCGACTTTTGACCTGAGGAGTGAGGATGACCACGGACAGGTTGAAAGCTTCGACGACTTCCTGAAGGACATGAGAGCCGAAGGACGCTTTGAGGAGATGAAGACAGAGATTGAAGACTTGGCGGAGGAGGCCGAGCATGCGATAAAGGTGGAAGGAGTTGAGAAGACTGTGGAAGGTCTTGAACGTCTTTTCACATGCTGCGAGACGCAGCTCCAGGATCTCAAGAAGAAGCAAAAGCAGATGATGAACGAAGCCCGGCCAGGAGATCACAGGAAGAAGATCGTGTGGGAGATCTATGCCGGTCGAGGACGCTTCACGGAGGAGTTTTTGAGGAGAGGTGCTGAGGTTCGAAGATTTGGCTTAGCAGACGGTTGGGACTTCACCAAGGCAGCACACCGCAAGGCTTTGTTGAGGCTGCAGGAGGAGGAAGAACCGGATGAAGTCTTCATGTCGCCCAAGTGTACATTTTGGTCCACGATGCAGAACATCAACCTTCGAACGGAGGAGGACGTGCATGAGCTGCAAGAGAGGAGATGGTTGGACCACGAGATTCACCAAGTTCTGTCGGAAGATCTACTTGGGACAGGCAAGAAATGGTCGACATGGCCACATTGAGCATCCCGCTCATTCCAAGGCATGGAAGACTCCGGCCTTTCAGCTTCCTGGCATGCGCGTGACCTTTGATCAATGCGCATATGGTGCAGTCTCATGGACAGATGAAGGTGAGTGGCTTCTCATCAAGAAGGCTACAACACTTCAGACAACGAAGCAAGCAATGGTGTGGCACATGTCACGCCGATGCAGTGGAGACCATGATCACCAAGCCCTGGAAGGAGGCCATCGTTGCAAGGCTGCCGAAGACTACCCAGAAATGCTGGCCAGATGTTTGGCCGAGGCCGCCATGGCTGATGAAGATCTGTCAGAGCAGGTCTACGCAGTGGGCCAAGAAGAACAGCTCACAGGAGTTCTTCGGAAGCTGGGCACCAAGCACGGTGCTGAAGCCGTGCGAGTTGCGTATCGACTCCATCGCAACTTAGGTCACCCAAGGACTGAAGTCTTGCTTGAACTTTTGAAGAACAAGCCAGTTGATGAGAAGGTTCTGGCAGCCATTCGTGACCTTGAGTGCCCGTACTGCAACAGCTTTGCCATCAAGAAAGGTTCAGCACCAGCCCATCTTGATCGTGCGCGTGAGTTCAATGTACACGTTCAGGCTGATGTCATGTGGTTGGACCTCAACTCTCTTGAGGACTACACCGACAAGAAGCACAAGGCCAAGAAGATTGGCATTTTGGTCATGATTGATGAGGCAACCCGCTACATGATGGCCAGGACAGTGAGTGATGAACAAGGTCTGACTCTTCAGAAGGCCTTGGAGAGAAGCTGGGTTAGACTTCGGACCACCAACTAGACTCTATGTGGACGAGCACCCAGCATTTGCCTCAGACAGCACTATGAGGTGGGCAGAAGAGCATGGCATTGACATGCGCATCAGTCCAGGCCAGTCACACACACGAACCAGTCTGGTTGAACGACGACACCAGTTGTTGAGGAAGAGTCTCCAAGTCTTCATGAAGGAGCACGATCTAAAAGACCTCCCAGGCCTTCACGACGCTCTTTGCTGGATTGTACCCTCATTGAATGATCACACCTTCGTCAATGGGTTCACTCCCACGCAGCTAGCATTGGGCAGACAGCCAAACCTCCCAGGCTTGTTGTCAGATGAAAGAACAACCATCAACCAGCTGCAGATGGGTGAGCAAGAGCGCCTGCACAGGAAACTACAGTTGAAGTTTGAAGCTCAAGCAGCCTGTGCAAAGGCCGAGATCGATGTCAAGTTGAGGCGTGCCATGCTTCGAAAGTTCTCAGGTCGAGATGAAGAGCTTCAACCAGGTGAACGATGCCTGTACTGGAGGGAGTCGCCGGACCGACAACACACCATCCAGTGGAGAGGGCCTGCCACGGTCCTCGCTGTCGAGAAGGATCCCGACAATGGCACGATCGTGACCTACTGGTTGGCCCATGGAACGTCACTCCTACGAGCAGGTCGGCAACATGTCAGACGACTGCCAAGGGAGGAAGGGCTGAAGAATGCCGAGCAGAAGGTGAAGGAGTCGCTGGAAAACCTACGCCAGAGGCGAGTTGTCCGAGTCTTGGATCTCACAAAGGTCAACAAGCGGTCGCTGGATGAGTTGGACCCGGAGGAGGACGATGAGGAGCTCTTGGATCCTGTGCTTAGGCAAAGCAATGGACCAGCCAGCACCCCAGCGACAGCCGGCACCCCAGCGACAGATACCTCCCCACCGACAGAGGTGACTCCAACTATGGCTGTAGCACCACCGGTCCATGACCATGAACCAGCACAGGACACAACTCCAGTCAGCCAGCTTGAGATTGACCGGACACACCACAATGCAGCACTCTGGAGGCAGTTTCCAGGACACCAAGACCTTCCTGACCCAGGCAGTCTTCCACCAGTTCGCATGGATGATGACATACCGGAACAACCAACGGAGCCACCACCGCTTCCGCCAGTTCCGGAGATTTGATGTCACCAGTGCACATCCCACCATCTCTGGCACCGACTGAGCCAGAACCGGATGTTGAAATTGATCCCTTGTTCCGCACTCCCAAAGAAGAAACATTTGAACAGAAGAGAGCACGACTCAATAAGCAAGAGACATTGTGGATGAAGAAACCGGCAGTACAGGACACAGCACCACACAGCACGGCAAGGGGATCAGATGATCCTCTCCCCTTGGGCATTCCAGGCAGCCACAGGCCACCAACACCAGACAGCGGCAGCACAAGACATCAGGACAAGAAGTCAAGAACTGAGGAACCGGGTGAAGAAGCCTTTCAAGTTGAGCTTCTTTCGGCAGTTGATGACAAGCACATCCGCGCAAGCCTCAGCGACTTGGCAGAAGGGTGGACGTATGATGAGAAGACTCAGGAGTTCACCCTGGGACCGACCACAGACTTTTAGGGCTATGAGGACGGCTTCTTGGTCCGGCATCATTGCTGGGCACGTGAGAACACGTTCCATCTTTCAGAGGCACCACTTCCAGCTGACATTGATCCCTCAGAGCTCCAGGCAACCGAAGGACTGACGATGATTCAAGGTCAGCGTAAGATCTATGTGAATGCCTCAGAGTCCTACATGGTCGGAAGCCGCCCTTGGTTTGGTAAGACATTGTTTCCTTTGAAGAAAGAAGCAGCAGCACAGCGTAGGATGCCCTATGCCGGCGACATGGTCAACAAAACAAAAGGAAAATGGACCCTACGGGGCAGAGGACACATCTGGGCAGCTGTGGGAGTTTCCCGCACAAGAAGGGCTCGAGATGATCTCCGTGAAGGTAAGATGTCATTAGAGGACAGGTTGGCATTCGTACAAGGCAAGAAGTCAGAACTGTCCAGCATCTTTGAAAATGGAGTATGGGAGATCGAAACCAACCCAGAGAAGATTGACCATGGAAGAGTGATGAGAGCCCGGTTCGTGCTCAAGTGGGTCACGGATGCATCAGGAAACCCAAAAGCAAAGGCAAGACTGGTCCTTCAAGGTTTTTCAGACCCAGACCTTCTTCGAGGAGCCTTAGAGACCAGCAGCCCGACATTGTCCCGAATCAGTCGACAGGTTCTTTTGGCCATCTCCGTCAACGAAGGCTGGAGCAAGTTCACTGCAGATGTCAGCACGGCATTCCTTCAAGGAGACAAACAGTCCCGTCTCCTTTGGTGTCGCATTCCAGCAGATGCTTGCCGCCTGATGGGTTGTCCACCAGGTACCCATATGAAACTGCTGAAACCACTTTATGGACAAGCCGATGCTCCCAGGGCATGGTTTCAGGTTGCAAAGAGACGACTTTGCAGTGTCGGCTACACGGTTCATGCATTGGATCATTGTCTTTACAGACTCCACAATGCACAAGGCCGACTGGTTTCATTGATTGGGCTTCATGTTGACGACATGATCGGGGCAGGTGATGAGAATGACCCAGAGTACATCAAAGCAAGAGAGGCCTTACAAAAGGAGTTCAACTTCAAGCATTGGACCACGGAGAACAAAGGTGAGCTCGAGTTTTGTGGCAACAAGTTGACACAGCTCAGCAATGGGGCGTGGAAGATTCAGCAGGAGGAGTATTTGAAGAAGATCAAACCCATGTCAACCACCTCCAAGAAGCACGACGATGAGCTCAGGTCCAATGAAGTTAGTTCTTTGAGAGGTCTTCTAGGAGCTTTGCAGTGGGCAGCAACACAAACAGCACCCCACTTGTCAGCAAGCATTTCGATTCTTTGCGGCAATGTTAGCGGTGCAAGCCAATCAGTTTCAGATGCAGCAAACAAAGCACTCCGGTTCAGCAAGAGCAATGCAGATGTTGGTTTGATTTTTCAACGTCTAGGCCCTCTGCAGGAGTTGTGTTTGTTGGCGATTTCTGATGCGGCATGGGGTGTCAGGACAGATCACTTGAGCCAAGGTGGATTTTTCATCTTGCTTGCACATCGCAAGGTGCTTGAGGGAGAACCTGACCATCCATATGTTGTGTTGGATTGGCGTTCGTTCAAGTTGCCCCGTGTATCCCGCAGTTCGTTGAACGCTGAAGCACAATCTTGTTCAGCAGCAGTTGACACCCTCGAGTATGTCCACATCTTTTGGCAGGCATGTCACAAAGCAGATTTCAGTTTGGAACATGTCAAAGACAATCAGCGCAGCAGCGACTATTTCCTCCCCAATGCAGTGATCATTGATGCAAAGGCATTGTACGACGCTGTGAAAGCTGAAGTTCCACAGATCAGCGGTGACAAACGCACACAAATCGAGTGCATGATTGCGAAACAAAAGATGAAGGACCTGGACTCTCAGCTAAGGTGGGTGTCATCGGAGGTTCAGCTGTCCGACGGGCTCACAAAGATACAGGCAAGGCAGTTGTTGGCAGATCGTTTGAGATCACACCAGATTTCGCTTTCAGCTGACAGCACATTTCAAGCAGCAAAGCGCAAGACAGTGCAGGAAAGGAAAGACAACGCAAGAAGGAATGCAATCAGCGTGAAGAAAAGTCTGACCATGATGATCATTGCAAATGAGTTCAAGCCAGCAATGGCACAGAACGAAGAGCAGGATGCGATTGGTTGGGATTTTGCATTGTTGGTGATGGTTACATTGTTGTGCATTGGTCTTTTTCAGATCATTGGTTGGTTGCAAGCATGTTGGCGACAGCATCGTGACCTACCACCACCACCGTTGACGACCGAAGCTGAAGCACAAACTGATGAACCACCACTACCTGCATTTCTAAGAAGACAAGAGAGTGCAGATCGATATGAGGCAAGGATTACGCAGTACAAAGAGTTCATCAAAAGAGGAAATGAAGCCATAGACCAAGTGAGGTATGAAAAGGAGTTGTTGGAGACCAGATGTCAACAGCTCAAGGAAGAGATTGAGATGAGAGACCACCGAGACGACTACATGGAAGAAAGGTTGAATGAGCAACAACGGATGATCCGTGAGCTGGAAACATCGCTAGTGGCACAGCATGCAGCTTACATCCCGAACCACATCGGGGGCATCCCACAGAGAGTTTTTACAACAAGAACAGGCACGTGCTATCACCTGGAGTCAACATGCAGTGCACTACAACAGTCACATGATGTGAAAGAATGGTTGGTGTGCAGTTTCTGTGTTTCCCGGGTGACGCCTACGTCGCGGCGACCACAGCCGGGTTCCTCGGGTGGGACCTGATGATTCCATATTTGAAATGTGCTGGTAGCATTCGTCCGTGATGAGACTTTTGTTTGCTGCAGAGCACCACCGGTGTTAGTTTTGTGCCACAAACCTTGGCATTTGCTTCCACCGTGTCGGCACTTGGTTCGAACTCGCCCGAAACAGGGCCCTTGAGTCACCACATGAGGCCACGTCAAAACAAGCGTTTGCGTTGCACGCTTTTCCCCCTTCATGTTCACCCAGTGACTTCGAGCGCACGGGTTCCTGAACTTGGTGTTTTCACCTTGTTTTCCACATATATACCATATATATTAAACGGATAGTATCAGGTCCAGGACCTTCCCAGTGACCGAACGAACTTGAGATCCCAGTGGCTGAGGTCACTTAAACTTAGGCCTTGATTTCAGGTCACGTCTACCAATCCTGAAGAGGTCACTGAGAAGGTCTTGGGTATCAGTTTTTGGTATTGTGTATTGTTGGTGTGGCCTAACAATCAAGAACAACATTGAGCATCATTGAGGACCTTTTTGAACGAATGGAGGTAACAAATCGCCAACGCTTCGCTTGGAGAATCAACCCATTCCTCCATGCATGTGTTTGTGTTTGGATCGCACATCTTAAGTCAACAAATGTCAATTAGGTCTGCACATCCAAATAAAAAGTCAAGCGACCATTTTAGGCACATATTTTTTCACAACACCTTGCGTGGCGAAGAGCAAAGAAAACCTGTTCGTGGCGATTGTAGCACTGCTTTTCCTTTAGCTCATAAACCAACACACACACAAAAACTGCGGTCAAACATAAGAACTGTTAAATGACGTCTTCACCTCTCAAGCGAACTCGCATGGTGTGGTTGTTTGTCCCAGTACCGCCGCCAAGTCACTCGAGCAAGTGCTGGGGGTCGGGATCCAGTACCTTCCCTATGGACATACTTCCAAAGGCCACTCCCTGCGCCTGGCAAGGCAAGAGGAAAGCAGTCTCAACAGTCCAACAGTCCGCAGTTGGTGAGTAGTTTCCTATGGCAGCTGTCATGAGGACTCGGTTTTGGATGTTGGGGGGAAGTGACATCATCAACGAACCCGAGCATGAACCATTCTCAAACCATTGCCCTGCCAAATGTTCAAGCCACCAAACATCAGTGTGCCTTGGATCAACAGAACAGGAATACAACCCCACAACAACAGAAACCAACTTGCACTGGGTCAACACCTCATGATTCTCACCGTGACTGAAAGGTCTTTGGGTGGCATCTATCACGATATCACCGTAGTATAATACCTGACAATTGACAATATATCTGTTGCAGACTCCTATCTCAACAAGTCGGACCCCCCCCCAAAAAGGTTCCCAATCCCCACTCCGAAACCTAGCCAAGGGGTTGGGGAGCTCCTGTGGTCGTTCCGAGTCAGTTCCAGCTCCCTGCTTTCGGAAGAACTGGAGACCCCCGCCGTCGCTCCCACGCCGTCCCTAACACAGGAGTCCCACAAGTCCCACTAGCCCCTGCGTCCCTTCCGGTCGACCGACTCATCCGACTCGTCTGACCTCCGAGCTCCTCACTTCTCAAGGCTTGGGACACCAGAAGCTCCACATCCACCTGCAGCCGATGAGGTGGACCAGATGCATCTCCACCACCCCACCGCCCCCCCCCGCGGTGCCGGGACCCCCCGGTGCCGCCCGGCCGAGCACGGAGAAAAAAACCGAGCACGAAACTGAGCGTGGGCATTGGTCGTACGTCTGTGGCTTCTGTGGCTTCGCTAGCTTCGTGGCTTCTGTGGTCTCCGCTCACCATGGGCTTGTTGGCGAGTGGCGACGCTGGGCATGGTCCCGTTGTGTGGGTCCACAGGTGTGATTTGGTTGGGGGGTGGAGTTTGGAGCCAAAAGAGGTAAAGGTAAAGCCAAATGGATTGACCCTCATCCCATAGGGGGGATGGCGCTGACTTCGCCAAGTGCGCTTGCATTTAATCATTTCCATGGATCGAGCTGCTGAAAGACTAGAGGTGAACAGCTAAAAAACGCTTGAAGAGGGCATGCAGCGGATTACCAAGCTGCAAACTCACTTTTGTCCTCACACATGCTGTTGGGTTGCAAAGATGGGTTAACGGTTAGTCTGAATACTCGCTTCCAAGTGCTTCCTTGGGTATACTAGTAAACAACCCCGAAGTTCCATCATGCTTCAAGGGCATATTCATTCTTCATCCTGTGTTCACCCACTCCTTTCACCATCTTTCACGGTTTTGACTGTGCCTTGGAGCCCCAAACGCCGTTCTTCCATCCTCCACACCCCAAGATCCCTTAAACCCGCAAACACCGCCCGCTCATACCCATGTCTTTACCCTCCAGCGTTTCACCGAACCGAACCGGCCCTTCGGACCCTCTGGGTTCGCTTTGGAACATAGACCAGTCTACATCCAGTCTACCCAGCCAGGGCTGAGATTTCGGGCGTCTCCCGGGTTTCAAAGGCACACCCAGAGGAGATGCGACCCTTCTCTCCAGCGCGACCCCCAGAGGCCTCCGCGTCCGCCGCGGTGTCCGCCGCCGCGGTGTCCACCGGGGGCTCCGTGGCGGGCGTCTCCTCCGGCGACCGCGGACGCGTTTCGGCGCCATGGAAGGGAGGGGGATCGGGTGATGAGTGGAGCAGGTGCCATGGACACCGCCCTGCACTTCCGCCATGTCCCGTCTCGTCTCGTGCCATGTCTCGCGGCCAACTCTCCTCGACCTCCTTTCGCTCGAAGATACATAACTGAGTGCAGGGACCTCAAGTAGTAGACTGCATCCAGAAGGCCCGAAAAAATGGTTCTTTCAACTGTTCATGGTCCAGTTGTTTGGAGATACATGGAGATACTGAGTATTTCCTCGCTGGGATTCCAACAAGTTTAGAACATGACGCCCTATGACTTGTGTCTTATCATTGCCAAAGTTGCTCTCCCAGCGAGTAGTCAGGATAATGATATGTGGGTATAACTGTGGGTATAGCTAACTTGATGGGAAGTACACTACTAACGCCTATTTAGTAAATGTTTGTAACATTTTGTAACATACCCCTTGCACACTTACATACTGCTTAAAGGCTTTGGTTTCAGGGTGTCTCCAGGTTAGGAAACCGACCATCCCCTCTATCTGGATCCACCAAAACTTCCAGAAAGCAAAGCATGCAAAGCTCTTCTGCGAGCTTGATTTCTTATGACAAAACCCTTCAAAAGGCCCTTAAGTCATCCATTTTTCTATCCATCGGAAAGAAGACTTGTCCCCGGTCCATCGTGATAGCGAACAACCGGACCACGGGCCCGATGCCCGTTTCGCCCGAGCCGGAACGAGTGAAGCGAACGAGATCTGCCCAGGCGCCATGGGCTTCCATCTCGGGGAGGAAGCCCACGCCGCCCAATTCAGAGATCCAGTAACCTGAGCCGATCCAAGCAGATGGCGTTTTCGACGATCCAACGAGTGTCTACCACCGTGCCGTCACCGTCTTTTGGACCGACGCCGAAAACTCGGGGGACGGAAGGAGAGGAGCTTCTCCCCCTTTTTGGGGGTCACCATGTTGATCCATTTTGGGGAATCGTCTTAAGTGCGGAAGAGTTACTTCTTTGCTGGGCCTTCTTTATCAGGTCTGGTCTGCTGGAGATTGAAATCTGCTGCCATGGGCATGGGGGAAGGCCAGTATCAAACACTCAAATACGCTTGTTGTCTGTACTCGGTGCAACGGCTGCAGAACAACGCATCACATGTGCCCTTTTTGGAACAACTCACGGATCTGTTTCAAACACCAAGGACATGGAATTGCAAGAGTCTTGCGTTACCTCCTTACGCCGTCCACATGCCATTCTCTGCCTGGTCTTGAGGCGCCCCCACGAGTCTACCGATCGGGTCCCCTCCACCAGGACTTTCCAAGTCCGGACCCGACGACATGTGGCCTCTCTGCACCAAACTGGTCACCAACACCCATCCTTTTCAAGGCTCCCAGGAACGAATCCCACCCAGCGAAGCCATCCCACCCAGCTTACGCACCGATCCGCCAGGTGGCCATGCTGCTCGGCCACCGTCTCCGACCACGCTCGGAACCTGCGGATGTTGTGCGGATCTGGAGGCTCTGAGCTCTGGGCCCATCTCAGGGCTCTGATGGGCCCCATCTCAGGGCTCCACTTCGGTTATGGTTTCGGTTGAGGTTCCACTTCGGCGCCGAAAGACACTCCCAACAAGAAGTCCAACGCCCCAGTCCTTGCCAACCCTTGTCCGGCCAAGGAGCTCTTCGCGCGTCCACTCGCGCTCGTGGTCTGAATGCCGGAAGGCCCGCAGGTGCGCACCACCCACGGGCACCTGGGCAACGGATCGTGCGGCGCTGGGTGGAGTTGGCCGTTCAGGAGGGATATGTTTTAAAACGGTGGTGATGGTTGAGTCGTTTGAAGGAACCACCATGTGTGTGTGTGTGAAACCATCGGTCACGGAGCTGGAAAACCCTATGAACGTCGAACAGAGTACTCTGCCCAAGGACAACGTCCAGTGCCTGACCTCGTCCTCCTCGTCACTGCTATCTCCGAAGTCCGCATTGGGGCCTTTGTCAAACAGCTTTTCAGAGTCCAAGCTGCACTTGAAAGAAGTTGCTGCATCCCTAGGTATCCAAGTACCTTCTCAGAAGGTACTTGGACCCTCAAAACCTACATCAGAGTGTCTCCAATCACCGTATTTGAGGTTCGGTACGACTGGATCCCTAAACCATGTTGCTGCCAAGTGGCTGGTGACGATGACCACTTGTGGTTGTAAACAGAACAGGGCCTGTGGCCTCGGTCGTGACGGCGTGGTCGGAACAGGCATCGGTTTTTCAGCCACTCGTGCCAACGACAGATGGCACAGACCCCCTACATGTCCGGAGGTCCAAATGTACCATTTGTTGGGGTCGCCATCTACTCTGAAACCACCACGATACATGCTGGACATGCAGAATTCTGGTTGGGTTGGCCAGGTTTTCTGGTTGTCTGGCTGGAAAAGGATGAGCCTATCTGGCTTGGTGGGCCACAGGGGTGTTCACTTCGACATCTTCGACTCTACGTGACCGCAATCCCATGTGACTCTGATGGAGGATCCACATCTGCCAGCGACCAATTGTCCATTCCTACGACTCTACGACCTTGTATTGATTGATTCATATTGATTCGATGTGAGGAAGGGGAAGATGATGGAAGAATGGTTCTTCCCTTCAGGTCGAGTCTTTTTCATTCTGCACACGTTATTATCTACACGCTTTCCCTGTACAACATGGAGCGCAAGAACATAAATCATCCCATGTCTGGAATTGCAAGGTATGCTGTACAATCTTCCACGTGCAAGAACGTGGGCCACAGAAACTCTCACAGTTCTGCGAGAATGGCGGATCAAGTGGGTTTCTGGCCTGGCGCTCGACAGTGTCGACCCGGCTGGCACGGATCGACAAAAACGCGTCTGAAACCTACGCTTTGTATACCCTACAAGTCCAAAAACTATATTTTGACCGGCTGAAGTAGAGGAAGTTCCCTTCAGGTCCCCCAGTCAGACCATTTTTTTTATAGTCTTTGACTCCCAGAGTATACCTTTACCTTTTGGACCAAAGATTGTATGATCAAATTGGGCTCGATCGGTGCTGTGAGCCCTGGAGGGTTGTCCACGTCCCCGTCCTGGAGGCCTTAAGGGTGGGGTTGGGGCCGGAGGAGAAGCCTGGATCCGGAGCTCCAAGAAAGTCTGGATGTCTTCCGTCTTGGAGATGTATCAAGCCCAAACATCCCGAACACACCGGACGAAACGCAGCCTCTAAGCCTCTAAGCCATCAGAACATGTGTACAAATAGTTCCCGGGCAAGCCGGCGGCGGAAGTTTCCAAAAGAATAAGCCTATAGGAAATGGGCATGTGGCAGGCTGATTCGCCGAGCTGCGATGTTCTTTGACAAAACAAGTTGGAACCGACCAATGGAGCGAAAGCGAAGCAACCACCGTCAACTGTCTCGCAGGAAAAAACGTTGTTCATGCATTTTTGCAAAATATAGTAATAGAGATGACTCAGCCGCGTACTAAAGTTGTACTACAAAGTCGCCAGTTCTCAGCTTCCAGCTCCACAGATTGCTCCGCGTACTAAAGTTGTACCTGCCAGCTCTCCAGATACTCCGCGTACTAAAGTTGTACTACAAAGTCGCCAGTTCTCAGCTTCCAGCTCCACAGATGCTGTGCCCGCCACGAAATCTGCACATGGAGGTTCACAAAGTGCTGTGCCTGCCAC